CTCGGACAGGTCATGCAGTCCTGAGACCATGTGTTCGATTTGCTCTTTTCTATAGGGGTTGGGATACATCCCAACGATGCATTGTGGAGGAGATTACGTTCATATGACCATGTTTCTTCGAAGCTCATGATCGGCTTCATATTTATAGAAAGCTTCCTTGTGCTTGTTGCACTCATTATCACCTTTTCCTTCTCTTCTTTTTTTTCCACTTCTCTCAAAAAACCATTTTCCATTCAAAAGATATTTCACCATGAGCGAATTCAAGACTGACCTGAAGACCTACGAGTTTAACCACACTATGATCCGTGTCAAGGATCCAAAGGTCTCGCTCGAGTTCTACCAGCACATCCTCGGTATGAAGCTTATATACAGTGAGGATTATGAGACAGACAAGTTCACGCACTATTTCCTAGCATTTGTGAATGCTCAAGATCTGGCCACTTTGGACACAAAGTCGAAGGACGAGCGCCGTTCTTACACCTTCAGACGTCCTGGTGTTCTCGAGCTGACTCACAACTGGGGCACTGAGAACGATGCTGATTTCAGCTACGCCAACGGCAACAAGGAGCCTGGACGTGGATTTGGACATATCTCCATCCATGTCGACAACGTCGACGAGGCCTGCAAGCGGCTCGAGAGCTTTGGCGACAAGATCCAGTGGATCAAGCGACTCGGACAGTGCAACATGAAGGACGTCGCCATTATCGCCGATCCAGATGGTTACTGGATCGGGGTCTGTGACTACTAAAAATAAAAGAACTCTCAAACTCGTAGATGTCTATCCATATAAGGAAATAGCCTTATTTCCACAATCTATTGTTTATTCCACAAAAAAATTGAGCCAATGAGTGAATTATGGCAATTGTCCTGGACCCGCAAGTAACTGGCTTGTGGCAGCCAAGCGTTCATAGCGACGTTGCTTTTTGATCCTTCGATGTCGGCTCTTTCTCTCCTACTTCTGCCGAATTCGGCGTAAGCGTTGTTGATGCTTTGTTCTCTACCATTATTCTTCCTTGCCAGGGACTCTATCTGTGTGTATCTTTCTTTTATTATTAGCCGTGACTTCCGAAAAAAAAAAAAAAAAAAAAAAAATGAAAATGAAAAATGAAAACAAAATAAAGGGGACTCTAGGTGATCTGTTGATCTCTATCTTTCTTTTTCACGGCCGGAACACTCTCCCCGAATCTCGGAACGATCCTCCCCCATGTCCCATGCACCCAATCCTACGGCCCCCGATGTCGATATCGACATTTACACGACCCTTCGCCTTATGCAGGAGCAAATGCAGCAACAGCAACTCCTTTTACAACAGCAACAAGCCAGGATTCAACAACTGGAAGCCGAATCAGTCGAACAGGACGGCAAAGTGGTCTGCAAGCCCCGAGCAACCACTCTCAAGCTCTACGAGGAACTCCTCAACATCTATCCAGCCATCGGGGAACCCAAGTTCTTCGATTCCGAGCTTCCCAAGAACCATGACGTTTTCGATTGGAACGACTACCATTACACCGAGGGTATGGATTACAAGCCTCCCCCAGTTTTGCAACACTCCGAAGTGTCCCTCACGGATGCAGCCAAGCGACACGAACGTGATTTGGCAACAATCCAAGTATATTTGGCACACACAACCCGGTTCTACGACACTCTCGCCCATGAGATCATCAAAAATAAGGAATCCGACTCGGCTCACGGCAAACGTACGCTCGGTTTCCTCAACACCGTACGTATCTCAGCATCCCACGACGCTTCCAGGATCAGTCGAATGCGAGAGAACCTTTACCTCGACGAACTCGGTATTAAGCATGGAAACGACAAGGAGGAATCCCTTTTCACTTTGGAATCACTGGCAGCCAAAAAAGCAGCCGCTGATCTGGTTCGAAAGACATACAAGAAATACGAACCTCCAAAGGACAAGACCAAGAAGCCTGACAACAAGTCTACCAAGGACAAGTCAGCAACAGACGACAAACCCAAGGACCAGCAGTCGGGAAAGTCGCAACCCAAGGACAAGTCAGGATATAGGTCCGACAACGGCAAGTCGGGTTACAAGTCGGACGGAGGCAAGTATGGTAGCAAGCCTCGGTACAAGTCTGGTGGCAGTCAAGACAGGAAGCAACCAGACCAGGGAAACGACGGGGAGGAGTCGGATTAGTAGGAGGACGACTTCTCCAGTTCCAGGAGGCATGGAGAGAGATGACGGATTCGACCTGGGTCAACAACATCATCAGGTCGGGCTACAGCATCATTTTCGACCGACCTCCACCACTGCGCCTACCACCGCTACACGATCCGTTCAATTCGCCGGAGGAACGGACGGCTATCGACGAAGAGGTCCGTACTTTATTACGGAAAAAGGCTATCGAAGGTTGCAGCGGGAAGGGATTTTACAGTCGTATCTTCACTATCCCCAAGAAGACGGGAGACCTACGCCCAGTGTTGAACCTACGTCCACTCAACCAATTCTTGACAGCACCCAAGTTCAAGATGGAAACCCTTACCAACATTTGCAGGATGCTCAAACCAGGCGACTGGCTTACGAGTATCGACCTCAGCGATGCGTTCCTACATGTGGCAGTCCATCCAGCATCCCGCAAGTACCTCCGATTCAGATGGGGAGCGGCATTATACGAGTTCCGAACTCTGCCTTTCGGACTTTCACTTTCCCCCTTCGTATTCACAAAAATCGTCCGTCCGATTCTCAAGTGGGCGAGGGAGAAGGGGATCAGGATCTCGGCATATCTCGACGACATCCTCATTGCAGCCAGGACCAAGGAGGAGGCCAAGGAGCATACTCGTCTAGTTCGGGAACAGCTGGAAAAGCTTGGATTCCTTATCAAGAACACCAAGTCAACACTAGATCCTACCCAATGTATCGACCATCTTGGGTTCAGGATCAACACCGGCAACATGTCACTGTCGGTTCCAAGGCCAAAAGTCCGCGACCTGCGCAGGGAAGCGGAGAAGCTGATCAGAGCAGGAACGGTTCAACTTCGGCGGCTGGCGGCATTTATCGGGAAGGCGATCGCGATGACGGTGGCGGTCTTTCCGGCTCGACTGAGGACGAGGAATCTGATTCAGGTTCAGAATGCAGCTCTGGCCAAGAAATGCAAGTGGACGGACCCGGTCACATTGGATACGGCGGCACTGGAGAATCTCAGCTGGTGGCGATCTCATCTTTCGGAGTGGAACGGTCAAGGATTCTTGCCTCAGAGGACGGAAGTCGACGCATACACCGATGCCTCGGAGGATGCATGGGGGATTGTGATCGAGGACAAGGAGAGGTCCAGGACATGGAGCGCATCGGAACAACCTCACCACATCAATTGGAAGGAGCTGCGGGTCATCTGGCACTTGGTCCACCTTCCAGAAACGATCGGGAAGACCATTCATGTTATTTGCGACAACATGACAACCATTGCTCAGATCAACAAATTCGGCGGGACGAGGTCTCGACCACTACTCGACCTGACGACCAGGATATGGAACCACTGTATGGCGACTGGCACACGACTCAAGACGACATACGTTCCCTCACAGTTCAATCCAGCAGATGCACCGTCCAGGAGGATGACGACGCAGCTGGAGTGGTCGATCGACAAGTCATTCTTCCAAACCCTCGAGTCGACATGGGGTCACCACCACATCGACCTATTTGCAACAGCAACGAACGCCAAAGTTCCTCGATACATCTCATGGAAGCGGGAGGAATCCGCCTGGGGCCAGGACGCGTTCAACAGCAACTGGTCCAACATGAACAGAGTTTATGCGTGTCCACCGTGGTCGCTAATCACCAAGGTCCTCCAGAAGATCAAGCAGGACAAGGTCAAGGCAACGGTCATCACTCCATTCTGGACGAGCGCGCTCTGGTATCCTATGATCACAGCCATATCGGTCGACAAGCCTCTACGGATCCCGAGGAACCAAGTCTTACCAGCTCCGGGGAACAGTCCACACATCTTCGAGAGGAATACAATGTGGTCGCTCTCGGCCTGGAACGTCGACGGCAACAAGCAGTAGAGAAGGGAGCACCCGGATGTTTGAGCACTACCACCACGCTAAAGAAGGAGATCCCGCCGGACGACGTTGACACACACGGCCGTCGGTCATCCCCAGCCATTGTTGAAGTGTGCTACAGGATCTTGCGATCTCTAACAAGCAACTTCGCCGCAGCCATATTTCCTCAACTCTGAACCCACAGATAGAGTCCCTGGCAAGGAAGAATAATGGATAGCGTTGCCGAATGTAATGACGGCTAAAGCCTATTATTCGACAACGCCAGGGACTCTAGATGTCCCACCCGACCCGCCCTTTTCTAGCAAGTAGATAGAGATCAACAGATCACCTAGAGTCCCCTTTATTTTGTTTTCATTTTTCATTTTCATTTTTTTTTTTTTTTTTCGGAAGTCACGGCTAATAATAAAAGAAAGATACACACATCTAGAGTCCCTGGCGTTGTCGAATAATAGGCTTTAGCCGTCATTACATTCGGCAACGCTATCCATTATCTTGATAATTGCATGGCTTATACAGTAATAGGAGCGTCCAGCACTAACCACCAATATATCTCATATGGTATTGCCCTTATTTTACAGTAGCTAAACCCTAAATGAGACCCATAGTAACTCACGTTCTAACTCTTTCAGCACATGACAAAAGAGTTACGTACACGCTCCAACTACTGCCAGTATCCACATAACAATGTGGTGTCAAGCATATGCTATCTAAGTTGTTTTGTGTTGGAATATACCGCATACATACAACACACGCCTCTAACATGAAACAAGACGACATCTTGGAGTTTCCAATCATTGAGATGCAATTGTAATCCAACCATCAAAATAGACGAATTTTCCTTGTCTTGATTGTTGGCTGATGGAAGAATGATGTATTTGACCATCATCGAGTTTGCTTCGCTCTGCTCTTTCTCTTTCCTTGTATATAAACGAACACCCTTCTTCTGCCCTTTGGATTGCATCGCTCGCACCCATTTACACCCAATCATGATAACCCCTTCAATCGAGAATCCACTCCACATCCCCGAGATCAGAGCCCGGATCAGTCGCATAGTCTCTCTAAAGGATGCCATCTCCTGCGTTCGCGTTTCCAAGGCATGGTCCAAGGATTTCGCTTCGTCAATATGGTATGCCGTCGATTTCAATATCCACGACACTTTCGGAGACCTCGATAGTGATATTGTCACTAAGTATGGACACCACATTCGCACTATCAAGAATCTCAAAACCCAGTCCGAACTGAATGCAGTTCTTCGTCCAACAATCAAGAATGTACGTGTTCTCCAAATAACATGTGCGACAAGCGCCAGATTTCGAACTCTGTGCATGGACCTCATCTACAATAACAGTAGAAGCCTCAAGGAGTTGACGTTGGCGATGAATGCGAACGCAAAACAGCAGGATTTTTCTAGTCGAATGATCTCCGTAAATGCGTTCGTCTCCTCGTCTGCCTCTCAACTTGTCGAGATAAGTTTCCATGGCATTTGTTTCAGCCGAGATTCGTTTGTCTCCTTGCTGAGAAATTGCCCACTACTCACATGCGTGGACCTGCAGCAAGACGTCGCCCTATTCTCAGGCCCTTCCGTTGATGCCTTCCAACACGGAGGAGTGGTTACCTTGCTGGCACCAATCAAACAAGTCTTCAAACCTGATCCTGAGTCCGAACCATCATCCCTTGGCTTTTCACTGCTTGTGCATTTTCCCAACTTGACTGATTGGCATTGCTACAACCTCCCAGCGACCTTGTTCGTCCCCGTTGAGCGAATCAAGAGAGAGGTGACAAGATGCTGCCCATACGTGACCATGATTGACACGTGGAAATCGCCTCAGTATATCATATACAGTTTGGTGGCAAACGCGTTTCACGGCTTGGAGCGCGTCACGTTTGCGTACAGTCAGCTCTCTATGGACGTTATTGTAGCCTGTTATGTCACAAGGCAACATTGCTTCAGATAATTGCCTTTCGGGGTAGCAGCAACTCTCACACTGAGAGAGATAACGTTCCTTCGGAGGACGATCACTTTCAACAGTCGGATCGAGCTGTACAATTGCTGCCGCGGTGTTGCCCACACCTCAAGTTTCTCGAGTTTGAGGGCCATGAGATGGACATGGACATTGTGGAGGAGGAGACATGGGCATGCATAGGATTACAACATCTTCGGGCGCGCATTCGAGGCTTGGATACGAAAGACAAGATTGACCGGAGTTTGGACTTGTGGAAGGAAGGAAAACAAAAGTCGCAACAGCAAAAGGAGACCAAGGCCAAGGACACATCAATCGAGGCGCGCGTTGCAAGACATCTCTTATCGTTCGAGAAACTGCAGGCAGTCTGGCTGGGCACTCGTACGTTTTATGCTTGATGATGGTAGCAAATTTAGTTCATAAATTGTTTTTTATTTGCAACTAGAATAGTACCCGCGGCTTCGCTCGCGGAGGTGTGGAGCAAGTGTGAATTGATAAAAAAGTGGTGGTGGTTGAATATTGCAAAGTTTATTTGTGTTTGTTAGTTCCTCATTTCTCTCTCACTTTTCTATTTCTGTCTTCACTTTTTTTTTTCGTTTTGCCCTCCCTTCCTTTTTTTTTCTTTGTCAGATTCCACAAATCGTGCCAGCGTGCCAGGCCTGACTAATCCAAGCCACAGCCACGGGGAGGAGGTGTCAGACGGGATCCCTGGGAGCTCGAATGCCTATAGATACACAACTTGGGTCGCATGAATGCCATGAAGTGGCGAGCACCGAGCCAGCCCTCCGCATCCCCAATGCGACCTGTCGTGTCTGATGAGCCCTCTGTCAGTCGAGATCTCGGTCAAAGATTTTATGCAGCAGTCTCCTTTCTTTCCATCAAATACAACACCGTCTTGCCATGAACGTACTCTACAACCCTCTCGTCCGCCTCATTCAGACTTTGTTTGACAAATCGACTCGTTGCCTTGGCGGGCTAAATCCTGTCGGTTTTCCTCCTTTGCTCAAACCTGCCTTCCTCTCTCGAGGTGTTATTCCTTGGATCATTCCCTATTCGACCGTCGCCCTTGTAACGTACGTGCCATATCTCCATCCTCCCAAAGTCCTCTATCGCACTCACAATACCTTTTTTTCTTTTCGCTTTCCCTCTGCCAGGCGGTCAACGCATGTCGAATGTCACGGTACTTTGTACTGGTACCAAAGGATGTAATGTAAAGGCAAAGACACTGTTGAAGGTCCGGGTGGTTGCAAGAAATACCTCTGAAATGGCTTTGCAATCCAGCAAGGGAAGCTTCGATGGCTGGCATTTTGACTCTTAGGCAGCACACAGAGAAGCGTGGATTAGCGACTGTACGTCCGACACGCTCCTGCGTATTCAAAATAAATAATTAAATCGCGCATCAATAAAAAGAAAGAAGAATGTAGAATAGTTGTAGGTGTTATCGTAACTGGTTACCTCTGTCCAATGTAAAGCACCCCAATGAGAGCAGACCACGCTCATCAATTCCTAGATCATGTACACTGTGTCGTCCTGCTCCTTAACAGCAGCTACTCTATTCCCAAAAACACGTAGATCAGCGGGAGCAACATGAGCAACAAAGGAAACATGGGCAACAAAGGAAACATGAGCAACAAAGGAAACATGAGTAGCAGGGGTAACATAAGCAGCAGGGGTAACAGGAGCGGCAGAAGCGGCTGGAGTAGCAAGGACCGTGGAAGGAGTAGAAGCAAGAGATTCTGCAACGATTATGCGCTTCCTGCTCAAATGGCAATCCGCATGAGTTGTACAACGGTGACCAAGTTGTCTGCAAGCATTACATCTCGTAGCAGAGGACTGAGGAGCACTATGCAATGCGATGGCAATAGCTCGCTCACGTTACCTAAATGGGCCGGAATGGGTCGGAATGGTTGGCGTTGGGCTGGAGCCATGCGTGGCTGCTACAATCATGCGTGACTGGGACAACCGGCTTTTCTCCTTCAGCAGGTCGTCGTTGTCGCTTATGTTACCTAAATGGGTCGGAATGGTAGGCCTCAGGCTGGAAGCATTCTCCCGGTACCAGTGCCTCCGCCGCCTGATCGATGACCCATCCTCACTCCCCTCACCCTCCCACTCAATCGTTGTCTGACTTGTAGTTAGCCAATCTAATCGATTTATTTGAATTTCCTATGGTTTGCATTGGGTTTGTGCGCATTCGAGTCGAAATTTTTAATCCGTTTCGAATGCGCACAAATCCTAAGCAAAACATAGGAAATTCGAATAAATTCGATTAGACGCTCTACTTGTAGTCTCGAACTATTGAACCACGTCAGCAATTGCAACGTAAGCATCCCCGTCTGAAATGGCATCAAAGCTTGCTTCGCAGTTGTTACCATTATAAGTTAGGAGTTGTGCTGTAAAGAGGCGGCAATCTGAGCAATTGTGGTCTGTTTACCCTAAAATACCGTTTGTTTTCCTTTATAGTAGGGACAGTAACAACTTGTCGACCTTTGTTGGCCGTTCCCACGTCCACGATGCTTGGCACACCTACTGATGGAGGAGGAAGAGGAGGTAAAAGGGGGGAAAGAGGGAAAAGAAGAAGAGGAGGAAGAAGAAGAGGAGGAAGAAGAAGAGGAGGAAGAAGAGGAGGAATGAGGAGGAAGAGTAAGGGGTGATGGCATTGAGTTTGGCGGTGATAGTGGTGGTAGATTTGGTGGAAAGGAAGTAGAGAGTGGAGGAAGTAGAGGGAGCGCTAGCAGTAGGGCGACCTTGTTAAGTTGGTCGCCTTGGCCCGTCTGTATCCTGTAAAGGTCGCAGAAGGAGAGACATCAGGGGTGGAAGTGGTAGTAAGAGTGACACGGTGAGAGCGAGTGGAAGGCATGCTGGCTACTGACAGATAAAAAAAAAAAAAAAAAAGAGAAAGGAAGGAAAGAAAATATGCTTGTCCGTGAAAGAGAAAGAAAAGCCATCGGCTCTACTCTCTCCATTCTCCATTTTCGCATCTTAACATGCTTACTGCTTACCGGCAGATCTTCTTACCGGCGTGGCTCTCATTCCGCAGTCGCATTTTAACATGGTTACCGGCAGATCTGCTTACCGGTATGGCTCTGATTGCAACCCTCATCCATCTCTCATTTTTAATTTAATTAACTTTAAACTAAAAAAAACGCACACAGCACACACAACACACACAACACACACAAACACTTACACACACACTACACATACACCATACATACCATACACACACCACAACACCACACACATTACAACACCGTGAGAAAGAGAAAGAGGGAACATCACATGATTTACGATAAGTCAGGTGATGGAGATAACGATTTTGTATTAGTAGATGTACCACTGTGAAGTAAGCGGGTAAAAGAACGTCTGAAGAGTGGAAAAAGGAAGAAGGATCCAAGGCAGGAAGCAAGAAAAAAAGAAAGAGATATGAACATATAGTACAACAATGCACAGAAGTCCTGTGCATGCTTCCTACACTCTACTCAGAAAGGTTTTGAACTCGGGGGTACGGGTCGTTTCGATCCTAGAGTACCCGGAACCAAGAGGGCTGATAGTACCAACCATTCGTCTTGTGCCAGATACCATAGCTTCCAAGACGGGACTCAGTCCCTGCTCGATTGTGGCTCTCAAATCATTCTAGATCTTGAACTGGGTGCTGATTATGCCAAGTTCTGTCAGGTTATCGGGGATCGTAACGTCGCGTACATGGACCATGATATACAGATTTCCGCACTTGAACATGAGATATATTGCCATGGTTTGTCCAATGACTTGCCATCCGACAAGAAGAGCGTCGTGAACGCCATACTTGTCCTGGATGAAGTCCAAGGCGTCCTTCAAAGAGAGCCCCACTCGAACCAAATCCTTGGCGTTTTTCTTCTTGTGGCCCTTTTGCGCATGGGAGGTCACCTCCCCAATCCCTACTTCGCAAATGGTCTTGTTTGTGCGATCCTTGATCTCAAGAGCGAGATCTGGCTCTTTACGACTACTGGAACTGTTTCGCAATCGTCCTGATGCAGTTGTTGAGTCAATACTACACGATATCAAAGGATCACAGGTTAATGTATGCACTCCACAGATTGGATTCGGTATGAAAAAGAAAGTATCGGTCATTTCTCTTACAAATTCAAGATGACTCTCTTGTTGGGCATGCTCATGAAAGCTCTGCACAACGGCAGAATGAATGAAGATATCGCCGTGGACTCGGAATAGCTCTTGCTGCTGTCGGATTCGGGGAACTCCTCGATTGCGGTTACAAGGTAGGCCCAAAGCTTCTGGTATGACCCAATTGGTGGCGCATTCTCTGATATATGCTTGCGTGACTTCTCTCGGTCATATCCATGGTCCTCAAGGGTCTGTTAAAACGTATAGATGCGAGTAAGTAATGACTTCCCTTCCAGATGCTCAAGTCCAACCTGACCCTTTCAAAAAGTGATAGTGATACGTGATACTTACATCCAGCCATGCACGCACTTGGTTGCGACCAGCCGTTGCCTCAATGTCCTGCCACTTTGCCAAAGCTTTGTCCCGCATTTGATCAAGGGTCTTCTCTCCAAAGTGGAGCTTTTGAATCGTTGATCCTTCCTTGTTCAACAAGATAACACCGGACCTAGCACTATAAGGCCATATCAAAGACATATTTGAGCTAGTTAGCGACCATATCCATCAGCAAGGGAGAGCTCGGAAGGTATCATCATCACCATAAACACTTAGCGGCCCCTTCATGTGCAGAGGATATAAAAAGGCATATAAAAAATATCCAAAGCCCAAGGAACGGAGTGTTGACTTCCATAACTGGCATATCTCTTCATAGTGGGCAACAGAACACAGAATAAAATAGCAGTAGACAGCACAAGAATTTTTAAAATGTAATCTCTCCCCTGTATTTCGCCCCAAAGATACAGTTGAGAGTACAAGTGCTTTAGATGATGACATACAAGAACTACTCTGGCGAATCTTGCAGTGAGGGTTACAGGTTAATAGTAGATGGACACATTCAAGAGTGTGGTGTGCGAAAAATAAGAAGACTTTGTTGTTTGGAGAATAGGTTGGTGTTTAGTAGGATAGTTAAACAAAAAATGTTACAATGGTTGTCTTATATGCTTGGTATCATATATACATTCTCATCCCATAGTCGCTATGGATATTGTCGAGATCTACAGAGATGTAACAAACACCATATGATAACTTGGACGTGAAAGGCCTCCTAGGTGAATGTTTTAAAAAAATATGGGTAATGCAATAATGGTGAGGGTGCATGCATTGTGGAACGTCTCAGATGAAGTTATCGTGGTTTTTATAATGTTTGACTAGCGAATTGCCCTTGTGTTATTCTTAAGATGAGTGTTTGTAAATGATAAAGGAATGCAGTGTAATGGGGGATGTAGTGTAAATGGATTAAGGGTTACAGAGCTGAATTAAATACAATATTTCTTGTGTAGGATCCATCTGGCGCTGAAAATGGAGAGTTAGGGAAGAGTGTTGGTCGTATTTGTGTTGGGTTATCGAGTATTAGAACTTTCAAGTTGTTGGGATTAGAGCATCTCGAAAGTGCCACATAGAGTTGTCCATGTGTAAAAACAGATAGGGGTAAATATATACCGGTGGTTGTTAATGTTTGTCCTTGAGCCTTATTAAAAGTGAGGGCAAATGCTGGTCTGATGGGAAATTGAAGTCGGGTAAATTTGATAGGTGATGTACCGTCGTCGTTTGTTGTGAGAGGAATGCGGGATATGAGGACAATATTGTCGGTAAACGATCCAGCCAAGATTTTCGCCTCGATGACATATTTTTTAAGGTTCGTGATCTGTAGTCGCGTTCCGTTGCACATCCCTCGTTTTGTTGAGATATTGCGGAGTAGGGTAATTGGCTGTCCTACTTTTAGTGTAAGTTTATGTGGTGGTTTATAGAGGAGATGTCAAGCGTGTTGAGGAATTCTGGTGGAAAGTGAACAGCCTGATCTGGATTGATGTCCGTGTAGTCGACACTTGTGTACGTTTCGGCTTTATCTGAGTGGAACATATCGGTAGCAAGAGTGTTGATTTTGTTGATGTCAACATTTAGAGGACAGAGAATCGCTCTGTCTTCAAAAATGTCAGGGGAAAATGTTGGTAAGTCGATATCTGGAAAGGTGGTGCGTATCAACTGTTGTTCATAGCTGTCGTTGATGTTGACTCCTGTTGGGTGAAGGATGATGTTGTCTGGTATCTTAACGTAATCGTGGTGGTTGCCATCGCTGTACATTGTCTCTGTGCCGTTGCCAATTCTGAGAAGGTAATCGATGTATGGTTGATGCTCGTCGTTGTTTCTGATCCTTAAGTTTTTGGTGAGCTTGAGGACGGTGATATGGTTCCAGATAGTTGTTGATTTTTTTAAGGATGCATTTATGACGTCGGACTCTGATCCATGTAAAACGATTGGGAGTATCTGTCGGAAGTCGCCTCCAAATACGATAACTTTGCCGCCGAACGGTATGTTTGTTGCCTCTGTCAAGTGGCGAAATGTTTTGTCGACTGCCTCAAATACTTTGTTGTGAAGCATGGGCGCCTCATCCCAAAAGACAGCTGCTGCATTGATGACGGCTTTACCAAGGATACTATTTCTGGTAAGGAAAGTTGTTGTTTTGTCGGTTATGTTGAGGGGAATGCTGAATGCTGTATGGGCTGTATGTCCTTGGTGCAAGATTATTGAGGCGATTCCTGAAGATGCGACGACTACGACCGGCCTTTGTTGATGTCCGCGTATGTACTCGATAAGAGTATTATATAAAAAGCTTTTTCCTGTTCCTCCAGGGCCGTCGATAAAAAATAGTCGCTTAAATGTCCTTGAGGAGATCGTAGCGATGATTGTGTTGAAGACAGTTGCCTGTTCAGGTGTTAACAGACGAAGGTGGATTGTTGCTAGTTGTGCATATTCCTGTACTGTTGGTTCATGGTGAGTACGATCTTGGCTGGTAGTGTTGTTCCAGGGATAATTGATAATATTGTCGTGTGTGTGTTGAGGCATGGTTGGGTATTTGTCGAGGCTCGATTCCATATCGTTGAGTAAACTGTTGATGTGGAAGAGTGCATTGTATCTGGCATCAATTGTGGCTTGTGGATCGTCAGGACTGTAGAGTTGACATTGTTGCGCCTTATGAAAAATATTAAATAATAGTAGAGTAATATCATCAGTAGGTGTAAAGCTAATAAAACAAAGAGCGGAATCTGTTCATCCAGGGATGGCGAGTACTTGTGTTCTTTTCGTTTATTGTGATATATATGATTATAACTCACCTTATAGAGAAAGTCGGCAGACAGGTCGTTGGCATATAGAGACCAGAGCTTCTTTGGATCGGATGGGCTGCAGCAACAGAGGATCATTGCAAATAGGTATCGGAGATGTCGTGGGTGTTGTAGCGCATTTGCTTCTCTTAAGCAGTTGATCCATTCAGCATCGTTTGTCAAAAGACCCCGTGCTTGAGCGGCAGCCCAGAAAGAAGGATAGATGATGCCTTTGTACGTCCTGAGTTCCTCAAAGCCTTTAGCGCCGGTAACATGCATGAGTAGCACTCTAAGCATGTATCGTTCTCCATCCTTTGGGTGTACGGTGTACATGCGTGCTATGGTGTCGTGTCGAAGTCGTCGTTTATGCCAAGATCGGGTCTGATGATCAAAACAATAATGCTCGGGTAGTTGGTAGTAGGTGTATTGATGGGCGTTGTTGTCGTGAGCATTGAGGGTGAAATATGCCATAAGCATACTGTCGCTATTTTTGTTGACGGTATGTTCTAGTGTCGCGCCCTTTTTTTTATGGTGACCAAGTGTTGTCCTGGTAGATGCACCTGCAGTCGAATAATGCTAGGTGAGTGTCCATGCATGGGCAGCTTCAGCAGTCTCCACATTGCCTCACAGGCTGAGACGTATCTGGCGTCAATATATTCTGTTATTTCATCTCGAGCGGACGCGTTGGCAACTCCAACCTTGGAAGTTAAAAAAGAAAATATAAAGCATAATTAGATCTACTATGGTAGGTAAAGATATAACATTATTTAACGTAATAAAAAAAAAGTGAGACAATACCTTGGCGCGATCATGTCCTTTATGAACGTATTTATACAAATACTTCACAGCCTTGACTGAGTTGCAGATCTCGACATTGATATGAGCATCGTACTTACAGTGTTTAGAAAAACTGATTCAATGAATCACAGTTTTTGACATTCATCAACTTTTCTCATTCCCATCCTAACCCTCTACTCTCAAGTCTTGCTCTGTTGTTACTCTCTCTCTTTCTCATTGTTCACGTGATATCTCAACCAAAATGACTTTGTAGAATCGTCATCGACATCGCTTTAAAATAAATAACTTCATTGAATCAGTTTTTCTAATTGGCCGAATCTGTTGCATGCCCTTCATCTGCAGCGGTCATCAGTACTTGGTGTTGCGTCCTTTGTTCTGAATCACCATCTCCAGGCGGTTGGGCATGCTCTCGTACAGTTTGTGAAGGTACTCCGGCGGAATTCCCCTCCAGATCGCCTCCACACGTTCCCACAGCCTGTCCAGGTCCTCAGCCGCCTCTGACTGCCGATCCAACTCCTTTTTGATGTATGACCAAACGTTCTCGATGAGGTTGAGGTCGGGCGAATTAGGTGGCCAATCAAGAACCTTGATTCTGTGCCTCGCAAAAAAGTGTATGGACTTGAGTGCAGTGTGTACGCGGGCATTGTCCTGTTGAAATATGAATTTCTTGTTGTCCATGCCTAGCCAATCGCGGGACTGACGAACACGCCTTTGGAAAACGTCGAGATAGGCATCCGAATCCATATTGCCCTCGATCCAGCAAAGGTCTCCGACGCCAGAATATCCAATGCAACCCCAGACCATTATTTTCCCTCCACCGCCTTGTTGTTTCGGCCGAACTTGGTGAGGCAGGTATTGTTGTTGTTGGCGTCTGTGGTAGTAGTACTTCTTTCCGAAGGACCCAATGCGGCTGAAGATACACTCATCAGAGAACATTACGTTTTTCCAGTCCTCGACCCGCCAGTGATGGTGTGCTTCTGCAAATCTGAGCCTTTTTGTGATCTGTTCCCGTGTGAGATTCGGCTTGTCTGGTGCTGAGTAGGCCCTGATTCCTTCCTGATGTAGATTCTTCTGTACAGCGGTGAGGTGGACATGCTCTCCTTCGGTTGATTCAACAAATCGTTGTCCATCCTTTAGCGATGTTAAGTCGCCTTGAATGAAATGGCGCGCGAGATTCGTCCTTGTCTTTGTTGAGATCTTCTTAGGTCTGCCAGGATGAGGCTCAGGGATGTTTTCCTTTTCCTCGTTCCTGATCCTGATCGCTGATGAGACAGAGATCCGAAGGTTGCATGCAACTGCCCTGGTCGATTTTCCTTGTCGAAGCTGTTCCACGGCAGTATCTTTAATGGATCGTGTAAGAGGTTTCATGTTGATTGTTTGTTGAGCTGGGAATCGTTCGAAAGGGTAAAGAAGGAGGAGCTGAAGGTGTGTAAAGGATGAATCAGAGTGATCACAAAACAAAAGAGCGATAATAAAGAGTGAATGGATCTATGATGACGAATTAGAAAAATTGATTCAATTGACGTCACGATCTAGAAGATCTAAGCAACGGCCTACGCTACTTATTTTCTGATTTCG